CAGCTCAGACTCTTAGTGACCCTCCTGTCTCAGCCTCCCCAGGGCTGGGATTACAGGCGTGCGCCGCCACGCCTGGACTCGGTGGCCCCTAGATGTGTCCAGGGTGGGGCCAGGATGGCATTGTAGTACCAGGGATCAAACCTGGGTCCTTGAGCTTGCCTATGCAGGCACTTAGACCGCTGAATTATCACCTCAGTCCCCAGATGGCCACTTTTATGAAAAGTAATAAACTTGGAAAATTTAATTTGGAAAAATCATTGCACTGGCTGTGTTTTCCAGACCTTCATCAGGTAGACCATATGGTAGAAGAGCTCCCTCCGGAAGAACAAGCAGAAAGAGAATCAGATTACTAAAATAATTCTTCTAATTTAAACGTTTTAAACAAATTCTTGCATGTGCATTGTCTCACTGGGAGTTTTTTACCTCATAACTTTTTCCTATAAATGTGCTATTTTATGAACATTAGTGTAGCTAGTGTTAGTCTATCTATGCACCACGTGGACATAGTACTCTTTTCCCCTCTCTAGTCCTGCCTTCTTTTTCTCAGTCCAGCACAAAATAAATGATTTTTTAAAAATCACAACCCAGGCACTTAAATAAGTTCAAAACTACACTGTCTGATTGTATCAGAAAATGATTTCCTGAAGAGTAAGTTTCAAAGAGATTTGGAAAATAATATAACTTGACCTCTTTGATGCAGAATTGTTAAAAAAAATTAATATGTTATATTAGGGCAAGCCACATAGCTCAGTGGACTAAAGTGCCTGCTAGCAGGTGGAGGGCCCAGGGGTTCAATTCCCAGGCCTGCCTGCCAGCCCCACCCCCGGGGCACAATGAGATCACTACAAGTCTGATCTAGTAGTGAGACCATGAACACCCTGTAGACCTTTCCCTGAAATACAGAAAAGTATGTAGTGTTTCTCTTGATCTTCAAAAGACTGGGGAAGTTAAAAGTATGTATTGGCTATGTAACATTTTCTAATACTTTTCTAATTTTTTAAAATCTTCACTTACCATTTATTTGGTACAGGGTCCCTCTACTCAGAGTGTGCACCAACCACTAGGGCCCATTTTGGTGGCTGACATGGTGATGTGCAGTACCAGGGACTGAGCCCGGGTGTTCGTGCCTGGCAGGCAGGCTCTTAGCCCACCGACCTATTTCCCTAGCCCATTTTTCTCATATTTATTGGACTGTAGATCCTATTTTTTTTTAATTTAAAACAGAATTTTTAATTCTGTTTAAATATGTGTGTATATTTACATATTTACACATACACTCTATATAATCACACATATATGCTATTTTTAACGTAACCAATGAAAATATAAATGCAAAATTAATTTCAGTGTACACAGCAACCTATGAGAGAAGAAAGGAGGCAATAGTTTGCAAGTGATAAAAGCAAAAAGGTAGGGCCAGGCAGGGTGGCGCACGCCTGTAATCCCAGCACTCAGTATGCTGAGGCAGGAGGATCATTTCAGGTTTAGACCAGCCTCAGTTACAAAGTGAGCTCAAGGCCAGCCTGAAATGCATAGCAAGACTGTATTGAAAAGACAAAAAAAAAAAGCAAAATGTATCTTCTTTAAATTTACTTTGTTCTATAATTTAACTTGCTAAATGCGTAATTGTTACCCAAACAAAAAGAAACAAAATCTTAAAAATAAAATTAATATAGCAAATTAACCTCATGAATATACTTAAAGATTATGTAAGTGACTCTACGATACAGTGTTTCAGCTGTGTATTTCTACTACAATACTTTCCAGGGCAAAATTAACTAGAAATCTTAAACTAAATTTAAAGAATTAATGCTAGTAGTGATATCTGTGAGTGCTTTTTTTTTTTTAATTTACCTGTTGTGGTTTATTATTTTTCTCCTGTGTTTAATTGTTTGCCCTATTTATTTATTCATTTATTTATTTTTAATTTATTTTCTTTCTTTCTTTTTTATTTATTTATTTATTTATTTTTTACAAAATCTCAAAACAAGATTTTAGGAGAGTAATAATGGTTAGTACATTGTGTATTGCTAAAATTTTAGCATGAATTCATAATTTCTTTCTTAGTTATTTCCTAGCTTTGGCCATTGAAAAAAAAGCATAGATGCAGTGAATTCATAGCGTGCTTATATTTGTATTTTTGACCTGACAGAAGATTTTCATGGAGGAAAAACATTGCTGAATCCAGATGTGGGACAGAATACTGCTAAAGCACCAGAAAAAAGGGAAAACCTAAAGATTAATAAGCCAAATTTTTAAAAGACTAAGAACTCTTTTCTCCTTCTTTTTCTCAATATAAGGGCTGGAATGCAGGAGTACTGTGCCACTGAGCTGCATCTCAGCCATTCTTTATTCCGTCCCAGGGGCTCCCTAAGCTGGCCAGGCTTGCCTCCAACTCGACGTGCTCCTGTCTCAGCCTCCCGAGCTGCTGGATGTAGAAGTTAGCACAGTGCTATTAGTCTTTCTGTATAATGAGAAAGCACTGAAGAAAGTCAAAAATAATCACATTGCCTCCAAAATCATTGAAGAACTACGGACCTGCAATATGTAGACAAAAGAGATATAGAGATAGATATATGGACATATAGAGGTTGGTAGTGGGGACTGAACTCCTGAGTTGTGCCTGCCACGCAGGCGCTCATGCAGCTGAGCTAGCACTCTGGCTCCTAGACAAAGGTTTTAAATAACAAAACATGTTAAGGAACTAAGAGAAATAACATGCAGGCAAAGTGGGTGGAGAGTGGCAAATATCAGCAAAAACGCTGAAATTTAAGAACCATGGGGAAATTCTAAAATTGAGAAGGATTTCTAAAATTCTAAAATTGGCTCAGGCTGCTTAAAGGGCTGGTCTGGTGTGGCATGTGGAGCTGGGGATTGAACCACGGACCCCTGCGCCTGACTGAGTTTGCCCAAGCAAGGGCTTTAAACAACTGAGCTAACCCGCAAGCCCCCAGACATTCTAAAATTGAAAGAAAGACAGCTGAAATGAAGTATTCATCAAACAGACTTGTCTTTCTTTTTCTTTCTTTCTTCTTCTTCTTTTTTTTTTTTAATGTATTTGGTAGAGGGTCTCACTATGCAGCTGACTTGTAGCGATCCTCCTGTTCTCAGCCTCCCCAGCACTGGGATTACAGGCACGTGCCACCACACCCGAACTCTGTGGCCACCGCCACCGAGGGCGCCACAGCCAAAAGAAGCGCCAGCAAGAATTGGCCTGGCTCTGGCCGTGGCGCACTCCCTCCAGCTCCCTGGGAAGCACTGCAGCTGCAAAAGTCTGGGAGAGGGCAGCCCTCGTGACCACACCACGCCCAGGTGCGTGCCGCTGGGAGGACGGCAGTCCCGGTCCTGGGTGGGCGCTCCCACGGCGGCAGCAGAGTCTCTACACCTTCGTGGTTCCGGCTGCCGCTGCTCCTGCACCTGTCTGAGCGGAAGAGGTATGAGAGCCACAGAGGAGCTGCTGTTGCTCCAGCCATCGCTTCTTCCCATGAAGCTCCTGAACTGATACCACTGTGGGGTCAGAGGAAAGGCGCTCCGGATCGAGCTCTTGCCGTTATTGGTTCAGCAAGGACCAGAGCGCCTTACAAGTAACACAGCCACCACTAGCAGCGCCTAAAATAAACCCATCACCATGTAGGAGCCTACACACAACTCAGGGAACTTTAGAGCTTAATAAGTAAATATACTGATCAGTTGAAAGCCTCAACAGCAGATTGCATAAAAGTAGAAGAGAGTAAACCAGAGCTCAAATAAGAAAAAGGGAAAAAATGAAAAAGAAGAGAGCATGTGGGACCGTTTGGGACACCAGGCCATCCCGGCTTTCCTCCTGCTGTCCCGCCCTGTGTCCTCCAAGCTGTGCTTTATTTTGCTTTTCTTCCTCTTTTTCTCAGTCCAAGTTCACTCTACAGGGACAGTTTTTCCCTCGCTCTTCTGTTTTACTTTGTCAAATGAACTTTGCTGCCATTATTTTAAAGCACTGAGATATCATGAAGCAAACAGACATTCACATCTGAAAGGTACAACTGATATATTAAAGGAAAAAGAAACTGAGCACAAGGAATAAATAATTGTGATTTAGGAAAAGGAGAAAAGAGGGAAACATGAAATGGAAAAGTGTATATATGTATATGCACAGGATAGGTAGGCTGATTA